GACACGCGTCACCACCTGGGTGAGTCTCCAGAGAATTACACTGACAAAAGCCAATCCCAGGGACTCCGTGCTGCCTGACTCCCTTTATAGGACCTTCTGGAAAGGACAAGATTGCAGAGACGGGGGACAGATGAGTGGCCATCAGGGAGCGGGTGGGGCTGCTGGTGGTGCCCGTGGCGGCTGGGTGGCTCTGCACCCCGGCTGCGACCGTGTCTGTGCCCCGGGTGTGAGATTGTGGTTCCAGCGGGTGTTGGCCCTGGGCGTGTGGCATGGGGCACACGGGGTCTGTGCGGGTCCTTTCGCTGCGTGGGAACTGGGGGCTGCCTCTGAACCCACCGTCCCCTCTTCCTAACATGCTCAGCAGCACACAAAAGCAGGAGCACAGGAGACACAGCAGGTGCAGGGGGCGGGGTTACGGTGGCCTAGCTCGTCTCTGCCCTTGTGTTTCCTATTTGCCGGCATTGAGGCTGGACTCCCTTCTCATCGGGGGGAAAGACAGCAAGTCCTCTTAACCGAGTAAAATGTTTGAGTAGTTCAATGTGCATCAGCCTGGCGGGTGGCCCACGGGCAGGAACGCGGGGTCCCAAGGCGGGATGCAGCGCCCGCATCCTCGAAGCCACAGGCCGGGTCCAGTCCAAGGTGCGCCTGGCTTGCAGGCTGCGGGCACAGAGGCCAAGGTGGGCTGGAGACCCCGCTCCCCTCGTCCCCGTGAGGCCGCCTGTCCACGGGGAGCACTGAACAGTGAGCCGGCCTGACCCTCCAGGTTCCAGCCCAGCATGTGGGGACAATAGAACAGCATGTTTGTAAGGTCCCCGGGCCATTGTCACAAGTGACCATGTGCTGCAAATGTAAGACAGCACATGCCTCTCTCTCAGTTTTGGAGGCTAGAAGTCTGATTTAAGGTGTTAGCAGAGCCTGGCTCCCGCTGGAGACTCCGGGGAGGGATTCTTCCCTGTCTCGTCACTTTCTTGGGTGCCGGTGTCCCTTGGCTCATGACTGAGTCCCTGCAATCTCTGCCCT